CTTTCCCAACGGTTGGGGTGATAGCTTTACGGATTGTGTAGTCTGACTATCCATTCATCTTGAGAGCTTGGTGTACGTGTTCCAGTTCACTGGCTAGGTGATGATGGTCGGAAATACATCGAGCTCTATGGTGTAGAGTTTTGATGAGGGAATTCTTCTGGGATGGATGGTGGTGGGAGTCAGGTTTTAGGTAGGCATCTGTATGGGTGGATTTCCTGTAGACAGTGTGTCCCATTGAGCCATCTGGTCTCTTTTCGAGTGAAACATTCAAGAATGGTAGCTTGCCATCCTTTTCCACCTCCATGGTGAATTTGATGGCTGGATGTATGGAATTGATGTGGTTGAGGAATTGGTTCAGAGCTGGTCGGCCATGTGGCCAGATGACAAACGTGTCATCTACGTACGTCTTCCACAAGGACGGACATAGAGTGAATGCCTGGATGGCATCTGTCTCAATGTTTTCCATGAAAACATTGGCGACAACTGGAGATAAGGGAGAACCCATTGGGGTACCTTCAACTTGTTTGTAGAATGTTCCATTCCAGGTGAAGTGTGAATTGGTGAGGCAGTGTCTCCTTGTTGGACCAAATCTTCAATGATTGCAATGGTGTCAGGCACAGGAACTTTGGTAAACAAATAGACTACATCTAAACTAACGAGCAAATCACCTGGAGATATTTAGATGTCCTTAATTAACGTTACCAAGTGAGCTGAGTTAAGTACAGCTGAGGCGGTCTTACCAGTGAATGGTTGTAAGGTCTCAGACAGGAATTTGGCCAGTTTGTCGGTGGGTGAGTCAATGGTGGAGACGATATGATGAAGGGGTGTACCTTCTTTATGGATTTTGGTAAACCATACAATCTGGGTGGTCTAGCAGCAGAGGGTTTAAAGGAAAACCGCTTGGTTGGTTCGATGAGATGTCGAATCGGTGATGATATTGTTGGTTTTCGTAACGAGGCTGTTGGTGAGATCTCTTGAAATTTTTGTATAGCTACTATCATTAAGTAGGTCCTGAATTTTGTTTTTGTATGTGGTTTTGTCCATAATAACTGTGGCATTGCCCTTGTCGGCTGAGAGGATGACAATGTCATTTTTCTTTTTTAATTGAGAAAGCTCAAAGCGCTCATCCTTACTTATGTTGCTAATAGGTGTCTTAGTGTTTTTGAGGATTGCAGCGATTTCCGATCTTGCCACGTCTGCAGTAATGTGTCCCAAACCCTTAAGTGCTACATCAACCTGGGCAATATCATTCACTGGGATGTGTTTAAGGTTACTGAAAAATTCAACCCGTTAGCTAGTACCGATTTTAGGCTGTCGGAAATTAGACTGTTACTCTGATTGATGACAATCTTGTCAACGTCTAACTTTTTAATGTGTGGATTTGGCTTCTTGTAATAAATAAACCACGGTGTTTTTGTACACATATTTGGAGTGAGAGAGCACTCATTACCTAAAACTCGGCGATAATCGAGATAAGGCAGCATTCGATGAGCCCACAAATAGATGTAATACAATTAGTGTTGTAAACGCATACGATTTGAGCGTGTTGACACCTCAATAGTCAGGTGGGGACACAACGGGCATGCTCACTCGTTTATAAGAGGTGTATTAGAACCACACAGGGATGTCAGGTATATATACTGTACAGTAATGTACAACCTTTCATGCTGATTATAAATGCAGTGCTGCACTTAAATGTCTTACTAATGCATAATGCATTTTATGTTCCCACTTTATCGATAAGGGTTTAGTGTTTGAAAGGAATGTCCACGTAAAGACCAATAATTACATGAGTATTCTTGGGCGGTCGCATGGCCTAGCGGTAGCGTGTTCGCCCCTTGTTTTAGAGGTTCACGGTTTGAATCGAGTGGCTGCCCTGATTATTACTACTACCAGGTAAGGCCCACTTAGCTGTATAGCCTTTTTTTCATAGGCGACCTGGCCACAAATGATAGCTCAACGAAGTGGCTTATCATTTGGAAATGTATAGTGGCCAAATACTTTAAACGCACTTCAGTTATAATAACCATAGGTGCCTTTAAATATCTCCTGACGTTATTTGTTAGAGTAAACCATTGTGTGCTGTCGTAAGTGACCTGCATTTTACTCAATTGGGATTATACATAGCAATCATCACCCCTTACTGGTATATTATTGCCCAGGTCATTCTTACAAATGGCACAATCGTGGTCTCTTTCTCACCTGGTTAACATAATTTGAACTTCTTATTATCGTCTAAGATAAGTCATCCGATCTCGAAAACTAAGCTGGGATGATCCTGGATAGTGCTTAGATGGGTGACCACACAAGTGCCATTGGCTATGCGGCTACGTTGTAGGCAGGACATCTAATATGTTCCCACATCTATGACGCCCATATTTGCTGACCTAAGAGGTGAAGTAACTCTCATGACCTGCAGGCCATTATCTATCAGCAGATTGACATAGGGCTATACATGAACCTAACTGTAGCCCTCACTCCTTTTGCTACGCCATCACAATGGAATGCTCGGAATTAGCAGACAGTAGCATCCTGAGAGTGGAACAGCCGCGCTGTTGATCGCAACAGGGAAAACTTATCGTCAGAGCCAATAAGAATACCACCATTCATCCCTTAGATTGATAAGATGTTTTATAACCACCATTCTTGTTATCATATTGAGCTCATAATATTAATGGAGATGATAAAACCACCATGGTAATTATATTAATCGTTGTTTGACTTTACAACCAAGTCAACGTCAATTTAGACAAGTATATTTATTATAGGAGACCGACTCTAAGATACAGACAGAAAATGCCTGAGTTAACTACTCTGGCCAGCAAATAAAATTACTCAACACTCGTGGTGAAGCAGGTTGACATAGCCCTTGGTACAAGGAATGAAGCATGACCCCGTCAAATTTCCCCTTCTTTGTAGCCTGGCACCGATGCCCCTCCAGCCCATGTGTCCTGGTGCAATTGCACCGCCTTCACTCTGGATAGCTACAGTGAGGGAAAAAGTATTTGATCCCCTGCTGATTTTGCACGTTTGCCCACTGACAAAGAAATGATCAGTCTATAATTTTAATGGTAGGTTTATTTGAACAGTGAGAGACAAAATAACAACAACAAAATCCAGAAAAACGTATGTTAAAAATTGTTATGAATTGATTGCATTTTAATGAGGGAAATAAGTATTTGACCCCTCTGCAAAACATGACTTAGTACTTGGCGGCAAAACCCTTGTTGGCAATCACAGAGGTCAGACGTTTCTTGTAGTTGGCCACCAGGTTTGCACACATCTCAGGAGGGATTTGTCCCACTCCTCTTTGCAGATCTTCTCCAAGTCATTAAGGTTTCGAGGCTGACGTTTGGCAACTCGAACCTTCAGCTCCCTCCACAGATTTTCTATGGGATTAAGGTCTGGAGACTGGCTAGGCCACTCCAGGACCTTAATGTGCTTCTTCTTGAGCCACTCCTTTGTTGCCTTGGCCGTGTTTTGGCTATTGTCATGCTGGAATACCCATCCACGACCCATTTTCAATGCCCTGGCTGAGGGAAGGAGGTTCTCACCCAAGATTTGACGGTACATGGCCCCGTTCATCGTCCCTTTGATGTGGTGAAGTTGTCCTGTCCCCTTAGCAGAAAAACACCCCCAAAGCATAATGTTTCCACCTCCATGTTTGACGGTGGGGATTGTGTTCTTAAAGTCATAGGCAGCATTCTTCCTCCTCCAAACACGGCGAGTTGAGTTGATGCCAAAGAGCTCCATTTTGGTCTCATCTGACCACAACACTTTCACCCAGTTGTCCTCTGAATCATTCAGATGTTCATTGGCAAACTTCAGACGGGAATGTATATGTGCTTTCTTGAGCAGGGGGACCTTGCGGGCACTGCAGGATTTCAGTCCTTCATGGCGTAGTGTTACTAATTGTTTTCTTGGTGACTATGGTCCCAGCTGCCTTGAGATTATTGACAAGATTCTCCCGTGTAGTTCTGGGCTGATTCCTCACCGTTTCAAATGATCATTGCAACTCCACGAGGTGAGATCTTGCATGGAGCCCCAGGCCGAGGGAGATTGTCAGTTCTTTTGTGTTTCTTCCATTTGCGAATAATCGCACCAACTGTTGTCACCTTCTCATCAAGCTGCTTGGCAATGGGTTTGTAGCCCATTCCAGCCTTGTGTAGGTCTACAATCTTGTCCCTGACATCCTTGGAGAGCTCTTTGTTCTTGGCCATGGTGGAGAGTTTTGAATCTGATTGATTGATTGCTTCTGTGGACAGGTGTCTTTTATACTGGTAACAAGCTGAGATTAGGAGCACTCCCTTTAAGAGTGTGCTCCTAATCTCAGCTCGTTACCTGTATAAAAGACACCTGGGAGCCAGAAATCTTAATGATTGAGAGGGGGTCAAATACTTTTTTCCCTCATTAAAATGCAAATCAAGTTATAACATTTTTGACATACGTTTTTCTGGATTTTTGTTGTTGTTATTCTGTCTCTCACTGTTCAAATAAACCTACCATTAAAATTATAGACTGATAATTTCTTTGTCAGTGGGCAAACGTACAAAATCAGCAGGGGATCAAATACTTTTTTCCCTCACTGTACGCCACTGCATAACACAAATACACATGGCATATCAATGTGAAAAAACAACGCTCTCAGTAACACCCGACTCCTAACACCAATTCCAACTACAGTAAAGTAATTCACACTTGTGAAAATGCCTGCAGCCGTGCCTGCCTCCATTACATCGGGCAAATATGGATAGGCACCTCTAACTGGCATGGATCGGTTATTGTATGAGGCAATGACATGTGGTTAAGATGGGGGTAAAATCAGTGGGAGTCTCACAAAGAACGTGAACAATTATATATAAAAGAATGATCCACTATCCAATGTGCTAGTCATTAAACTGATATTATAGTGTCGTGACATTTTGGGGTGAAAATAGTTTTACACAATCACAATAGAAAGGAATGATGCACGTAATTTTTCCAATATAACAAACCACGTGTACGTGTAAAATGTTTTGTTTATTGTGCATGTATAGGTATATATTGATTACATGCGATGTGCATTCCCATAAGTACAAGTCCCTTTTTGGTTCGTTTAGCATTTGGCCGAGCATGAAAAAATACCGGTCATCGTTGTTGAACAGCAATTTTCAAAACCAGGATCAAAGCACCAAAGTATATTATAGTATTAGGCTATTTTCCTAGAACTACAGACAGACCAATGCCACACTCACAGTGCTCTGCAAAAGGGAGACATTTGCAAACAACAAGCAATAAATGCAAAAGATCAACCATATGTAAATGAACTGCGTGTTAGGTTGACGAAATTAATAAATTTCCCTCACACATAAGTCAAGCACTCGCAGTAATACATCAACAACTCGAATAACACTGTCATAAATAAATGTATAGCTTATAACAATGCATTGCATATACTGTATTTGGCATGCATATAAACCTACACAGCAAATCTTTCTCTGGGTATGGCAGGTATAACACAGCATATTTTATGACCAACATGAACATGCAATGAAAGGCTTGTTAATACAATAGTGCAGTAATAATTCACGGCATTGTTTTGGTTGTGTCTTTTGGAACACAAAACAGCACGGCAGCAACAAATGAGCAGAACAAACATATTCTCATTTTAAGGTACGGACCCAACACAAATACTGCTTAATGCATATACTGTCATTATTTCTGGAATTTACTGCCAATATTATGTTAATGAAGGCCTCCCCGTACCGTGGTGGAGGGTCTGTTTGACCATACTTCACCACACTGGTCAGTGGGAGTTAGTGAAGGGGTGAGTCCTAAGACTTGGGTTTAGACACCACACACCACAAAGAACCCGTTTGACCGTCGTGGTGTGGTAAGGCATTCATCCAGCAGTGGATTGTCAGAGGACTGCACATTCTCTTTCGATTAACTTCATAAACCTAGTGTAATTATGTAATTAATTAAATAACGCACTGTATTCGTGTAGCGTAATTCATGAACTTTCATCATTTCTCATGTGACTTCCTTTTCTTTCTCGCACTCAGCACAAATCCCACTTTCCAGCAAACCGTGGCTCTGCACAACAAGGAAGTTTGTCATTGTGATAACCTTCAGCGGTAAGGGCATGCGGTTACAAGAGTAAAGGAGCCTTTGTGCAGCTGCTTAGCACTCGAATTACAGCACTCGGGACTCGTTATATTCTGATTTAAAAGCGTAATACTTCCTGTAAGTGAGAGTTCAGTATTAAAACAAACAACATACGACTCAGCATGCAGACTCTAAAAAAAAACAAAAAACATAGTAACAACATATGGTGCACTACAATGCATATGACGAGAAAATACAAACTTGTTTACACGAGTAAAGACTAAACAAAAAGCAGCCCCAACTATTTCATCTCAGGTTAGCACTTCATTTTTCTCTGAGCCGATTATTATAATCTATGCCCTTTCTAGCGCAGAGCAGCAGCTTCCAAATGATAGCTCTAGTTCATGTATGTGCATAGTCTATGCTTGAAATCATAATCCACTCAAGTTATGAAATTCATTTGTTGAAAATATTTTGTAGAAGGTTACACCGACATTACCCAGACATTCAGCCATTTATCGGATCGGACCAGAAATCGTTCAAACGAGCTGCGGCTTGCAGAAAAAAACAATTCAGCACCTTGGGAATGGATTTTAGCCAAAGGTTAAAACTTCACCGTATATACAAGCAGCTCAATATATAGATTAATGCTTCAAATAAACATTCGCAATTAAATTGCATCATGCGCATAAGCAGAAACATTTTAATCCATAATTATTGCAAGACTCGGTATGAGGCACAGGAAGTAATTAAGGTTCTTCAAACGCAAGCTACTCATTTACAGAAATGAGATTGAATGTATAAACACTGCTGAAGGTCAGGAATATTAATCACGATCAATTGCCAATTATTACCTTGATAGTAATGACAGGGTCTTTTTAATCTGGAAAATATAAGGAACCCATATGTTTTTCTTTTTTTTGTGTTACAACTCTGGAATACTGGATACTCAAACGTGGTAAAAACTTAATCATTGCATTAGGGTATTTAATGCCAAAAATTCACAGCAGACATTACAATGTCTATCGGCAGCACTGAGCAGAAGCCAGGATGTAAACCACTGTACCCTCACAATCTGGCGCCCTAATGGCAAAGCACTCAAACCACTTCATTAAATCCAAAATAAGAACACAATAAGTGATAACATAATGAGAATGATAGAACTAAGAGTTAAAATACACAGGCAACTGGAAGACAAGCCATGTCTCAAACCAGGGGTGCAGCCGCAACTTCAGAAGTTGAGGGATGTCCTACTAGCAAATGGTTCCCGGTGGCTATTGGTTAGAATATGGTGCAATAAATAATTGGAGTCGTGGGCAATAGGGCCACAGATACGTGGAATTCTACCGTACTATATTTATATAAATTTACACAACTACTGGTTATTGACTTGGTTCTAAGTGCACAATGTGCGCTACATTGCATTTATATGTTCCATAATTGGCATAATCAACATTTATGTTGCCTAGTTGAAGGGAAAAATATGCTGATTCAAAAGTACAATGATTTGGGCTATAACTTTTGGTGACTGCACCCCTGCAAAAAAACGCATCCTCAGTTTTCGGAGGTGCCCCCCTTGCTGCGGCGGGGCAGCGGGAAGGCGGGCTTGCTGGGTGGCTGGGTTAGCTTGCTGGCGAGAAAGACAAGTGGCTCCAACAGGGTCCTCCTGTCTGTCACCGACACCTCCCAGAGACGCACCTTCTCCATCCGGGCCCACTGCTGGGCCTGATCCAACCGCACGGCCCGATTGGCGCGGAGGTCACTCTTGTTTCCTAGGACGACAACCGTCACCTGCATTTGGGGGTGGGGGGGGACAAAAGAGGTGAGGCATAGCAGGCTTGTTTCGGATATGGTATCATCTACAGCGTTTTCGCAGTTCTGCTGTATAGCACCCAAATGTTTTTTCGGGTTGCACCTCCTGCTGTTCAGCAAGTCTGACATTTTGCTCCATATAGAGAGCTCCCAGCACCGGAAGAGAATTGTCATACATCAACATTAGGTATGTGCAGTGGCTTAATTTGCATATGACAGGAAAGATTGGTAATCACGAAAAGGCAGACTGACGTTGAGAAACACCCATTCCAAAATTCGCAATTTCTTTTTCATTCTCAGTGAGACTTTACAGTGTTCAGTGGTTTCCCTTGGCCTATCCATATCAGTTAAGCATACCCACGATTTGCCCTACCACAAGCATTTCACCAACATACATACAAACAAGTCCTTTATTTATACAATGTGAGAGCCTGGCTGAGAATACACGTCTACTTTCAAGGAAGGCCTGGATCAGAAAACAGACATTATACATGTATTCATAATAAAGGTTTTTGGGTTAGATCGCGTTATTTATAAATGTGTCGTAACCCTCCACCACCTGACACGGCCAATCAGCAAAGAAGTGTCACGTTGATAAAAGACAATTAGTTCACTACTTTAACCCACCGGTGTGTTGAAGAATGAATCAAATTATCAAAACCTCAAACATTTAGCAAAGGCATATTGCCTTATATAGAATTAAATAACTTTGTGTATGGAGTTAGTTCACAACTTATTAAATTTACGTAAAGGCACACGTGGGGTCTATAAGGTTTTTATTTTTTGTATCATTATTTATAAGACAAGAACTCCAGCATAGAAATGTGAAGAATTCTGCTATTAACATCCATGCAATGTGAATGTGGTGGAAGGATTTCGTAACCTGATTTACATGTAATTTGTATTATGTTATGGGAGGCTGGACTTCTTGGTTACAAAAAAAAATGAGAAGATTATAATTTACAGCCATTTATTAATCTACTGCTGGATGAAGGCATCCCAAACCAGCACCCTACTGGTCATGAGTCCTTTATTGTAATTCACAACGATGGTGAGTGCATGTTTGTGAAAAGGGGTCCAGGGCCAGTTCAGATGTCACTCACCATTGACTTTAGCTGTAGGCAGGAATTAAACTTAGATCGCCGGCTTCATATTGCAGATGCACTTACTACTGTACTACTGTGCGTCTATTTTTTGTTCATATACAATTCATCCACATCAATACTTATCCGATTTTAGATGAAAAAGTTACGTGGCATCAAAGCATACCACGTTTTTTGCATCAATTTATCACACTCTTACATATCAAGCAAGTCCTGTCTAACTGGTCCGAGTGTACATTTTTTTGGTTCAAGGCTCCAAGATTTGGCTTATGTTTGATCTTCCCATCCTCGACGGCATAAGCTTCGGCTACAATACGTTGTTTTATTGCTGCATATCCCGTAATGTTTTATTGCAAAAAAAATCGATTTTAAATAAATGTATTACTGTACAGTGGACAAAACCTACACTGTAAATGTTTTTACATATCGCTGGCACACATTTAGAATTCTGACTGTGAGGAATGCAATTGAAAAACAAGAACCACCCAGAATTTGGTCACAACTGGTTTTAATTCTGAAACATACCACACAATTCTGGCAGGATGAAGGTGCCCTTTCCTGGGCTGGCTTACATAATAAAGCAAAACAGATGACTGGTTTGGAAATTAATGCACATGTCATTTCGATTTTGTTTCATTAAATACATTGTTATGCTGCAGCAGATTGCTTTGATTCTTAAAAACTGCTCTGCAGGCACTTTCATCAAAGTGTAATTTAGCAAGATGCCCAAATGTGATATATAACACAATTTAGATTGATATGACATCTAAATGCAACTCCATCTCAAGACGTCATAAAAACAGTCGGTCATATTTAATTAATGTAGAGAAATAAATTATCAGTCACAGGAAGAGGAAATAAGGAAGATTTTGAGTCCACACTTCTACATGGGCAGGGACAACAGCATGGATGACTAGGGGAAGGGAGTTCCAAACTATGAGCAACCTTCCACAGAGTGAAGGTTAACTCAATATGCATGGAAAATAATGATGTTTATCCCACTGCCAATATTTAGGGGGGTAGCAGATGGCTTAGACAGGCTTGGGGTACACTCCAAACCATTCACATATGCTTAGGTTTCCTTAGGGAACTGGCTATATCGAGAAATATGTTATAGGTGTCATTTATTTATCCACAATTTTTTTAAAATCTATATTTGGGTTTGTTATTCTATTTTAAATTAAGACCTGCTGTTCCATCTTTACTATTTGTTTATCCAGGAAAGCCTCAATCTATATTAAGACTTCTATGAATGAGGGAGTTGCTTTCAGATGTTTGGCCATGTGGGAGGAAACCGGAGTACCTGGAGAAAAACCATACGTGTAACAACGTAAATGGAGTCGCTATGGCGTTTAGCGCCAGCTGCCGTCACAAGAGTGGAGCTGTGTGTCTTGGGCCTCTCTCTGGCACCAGAGTGGATATGCCATGGAAGCAGGCCCGAGGGGGCATAGTCCTGGTGATAGTGAGAGAGAGGTCGGGTGAGGACGTGACAGTCTGGATAATCCCGAGAGGGCACGTGACTGGACCAGGTGGCAAGGCGGGCCCAAAAGGAGGGCCCAAAAGGAGGGGAGAGGGACACGTGAGGTAGGGGCCAGAGTCTTCGGGAAGGATCTGGAAGGGGTCGTGACCAGGGGCGGAGCCCAGCCACGCCACGGCCCATGAAGGCCGAGTCCCGAGCCCTAATCGGGGCTGTTCTCTAGAATCAACCCTCGGCGCTTTGTCTCTCCGACCTTCGGTCTCCACTCAGCATCGTGGGTCAGTCAGGATGTTACTGACTGACCCGATTATGTAGTTACCCTGTTGGCGTCTAGTTAGTGTGTGCACGTTTATGTAGTTAGCCCTGTGGGGCTGTGTAATAAATGTGTTGCCTCCAAGTCAAGTGTGTACCTCCGTGAAGAACACTACACATGTAAAACTGGGACACTTAGCCATATAATTGTTATGCACTTAACTAAGACTCATCAAAATTCCAGCACTCACACTTTCCTACGATATAATTTTTACATATCGACAGACAACATCCATTGTGCATATATATATACCATAATACAATTTACAATAATTCATTTGCTCGAAGAAGGCCTCGCCACACTGTGCAAGTTCACCATATTTCCTCCCGCAGGACTGTGCAGGTTGCTGAAGGTGGGGCGTTGGACCAGTTCAGATATTATGCACCAATGATGTTAGACTTGGCCATGAACCAAACTAGAGTTGCCGGGTTCATAGCGTAGTGCATTAACGATTATGCCAATGCCTCATGACCTATATTCATGATATACAATGATATAAGCCATCCAAAGAGGTTGGTGAAGAGTTTAGATTTGTTGTACTGTAAATTTGCACTTAATATTCCATTTTTCAAAACAACCCATTACTTAAAACCTTTAATTATATTATATGACTAGTATATAAATACAAGGTTTTATTATAAGCCTAAAATATGATATATCTTTCATGCAGAGCAATAATGTGTATTTGTAGATTTACACAGTTGATTTAAAATAATAATTATAACTGGGTGCATAAAGGGTAGCATGCTAGCCAGTGCACCACTGCTCCACCATATTGTGCATTTACCTTATTTGAATGTTAGTCCAGGGCACGTTTATAAATCAGAGCAAGCTTTGTAGGTACCAGTGTACACGCAATGCATCAAGGCACCTCTTTCTTGTCCCTTGCTCGGTCAATCTCTTTCTTTAGTGCCTCCACCTTGCGAAAGGACTGCACATTGTCCACGCTGTACACGAGCAGGAAGCCGTCAGCCAGTGCCAGGTAGTGGCGGGGCAGCTCGGAGGGCGAGTCGCGCAGCCCCCGCGTGTCGTAGAGACGCACCTGCTCCCGCACGCCACGCTCCGTCTCCACCCACGCCACAAACACGTCCTCCTGTGTCTCGTGCATCTGGGAGCCTGGGGGACAAAGATCCGCCAAGTTGCCTACACATGCTGCCGGGGGTGGGCAAGTGCTGTTAGTGAGCACCTAATAAGGCCTGCAAGGTGTACGAGGGGGCAGTGTAGCCAGCGCCACATCCATTCGCTGTTGTTGCCACAGTCCTCTTTACACACTATGCTACTCATTTAAGACCGAGTCACCCGAAGGGAGGCCCAGTACTGGTTAAGATAATGCCCCATGATATTTATCCATTGCTTTGAATCTAACTTAAAATGTCAAGTTCATAGCACAGTGCGTTAACCACTATGCCTGGGATGCACATACACATGCTATCACTCCAGAATCCAAGCTTATGTTTGACTCTTGTTGGGGCAGTTTTTATAATTCGAATGACTAGCCAAGTTAACGGGATCTGGGTGGGCCAAGGGGCTCATTATGGCCGTGTCGGAACGTGACTCGGCACAGTTAATATTACTCTTTGTTTTTTTCGGTAAAGTCATGTATTTTTACGTGACTTTACCGAAAAAACCAAAGAGTAATTCCTGCAGTCACGAAAGCACCGAATCACAGTTAATATATTCCCAAGTTCGAATCTGGGTTTCAGCTGCCTGCGAATATTGTCTCAGTCTGGAAGACCTGGTCATAAAAAAAAACTGCACGAAGACTTTATTACGTAAAATTTTTGTTTCCACTGAATTAGGACTATTCCAGCTGTGATAATTGTTTTTGTTTCATTGCCATTCAACAAATGCTTACTCCAGGCCATATAATCTGTGTTGCCCTCATGTGGATAAAGAGGCTGACTGAAGAGGCTTCAAAATAAGTTCTATGACATTATCTTCTGAGGTTGTACTCTAACGCAGGTTGATGCACTGCAGTGACAGTTCATCACGAATAATTAAAAGAACGCGTGGCATAGCCGGTAATAAAATGTATCTATAATTGAGGTGTTCCTAAAAAATTACAACCACATTGCAATTAGGCAAAAAAGTAGGCTTTTGTTGAGTAGGCAGATGAATTGAATCAGAAGTTATTAAGGTCATTGATGCAGTTATCTGTAGATAAATTATATTATATAAACTATTAAGTGGCTTCTAAAACTTTTAAATTAATTCAGAACGGGTTGGAACCCCTCAAATGGGAAAAAAAGGGCAGAATGGTAATAATTGGCCAAACTGATTCCTAACCCCTAACCCTGGCAATAACCCAACTCAGTGCTATAGATGATGTCTCCTAGTTCATTTTAGTGTAATATAAGATGCCAAATTCTTGCCTTGTTCATTCTCAACTGTTCAAACCATCACAACTTAATGGATCCAGCAGCAGTCACTTACAAGAAGCACTTTGTGCATGCACCGGTCACATTTCGACATGTGTACAAGAGCTCTTTGTGCACTGCCAAATGAATGGACAAAATTCACCATTTGGAATTTAGCTTTTACAAATGTAGCATTTGTCCAACTGCGTACAGAAATGAGATTCAGTTTACAAGGCATCCGAGCTAAATTATGGTCTTAAAAAAATGTTGTATGTTTTTTTTAATATATGCAACTTAAAATGGAATGAGACAGCTGGAAAATAAAGACACGTGTCTGTCAAAGGTAGATGATAAATGATGACGAGCTATTAGTCATTGGCACAGAAATACTGTCCATGTATGGCCATAGATTATTGATGAACATAGTTTCGATTTTTGCAAAGTTCAAATATATGATTACGGGGGATGCTATGGTGTAATGGTTAGTGCACTGGAGTTGGAAACCAGCATGGGTGTAGTTGAAACAAACACCAAATATCTTAAATCCCACCTGCCTCTGTCCATCCAGCAGCATAAATGGGTACACCACAGTTCGTCGATAGGCAGGCTTTGTGTGGTGGGATAAAGTGTAATTCCACTTCTTCCAAGATATCTGGCCCGTGTTGAAGAATAGGCCAAATACCCTGCAGAGGGGCTCTCTAGAGCTCGTGGAGGCCCCTTTTGCCAGCAGTGGCGTGAGCAAGATTTCAGGCGTTTGGTCCCTGTCTGAAACGTGCAGAGCAACTTTTACGATCTTTTCTCGCCTCCGGTTGGTGTTTCCCACGACAAAGGCATCTTGCAGTGCAATTCAAATTGTTTTCTCCACTGCGTCTTAAAGTGTTTTCTCAATGACATATATATCAAGGCACGAGTGTAACTATAGATATGGGCGTCTTGAAATTCTACTTTGGTCAATGCTTGAGTATTTTGGTATACATGTTGGGGGGGAAACAAGAGCGTCCACATAAAACCAAGGGTATGAGAGGATAACACTGGGCACAGTGAATGAGTGACTTCACCCCCGTGCCCTGCCACGGCTGTGTGTGACCATACCGACCACGTGGCTGCCGTAGAGCACCTGCTCCAGGATGGCTGTCTTGCCCACAGACGCCTGTCCGCAAACCACCACCCTGCAGCCTTTGCCCATGGCTGCGCTCTGTGGAACAGAGGGTCAGGTCAATGCGGAGCAAGTATCCCCCATTCCTCGCTTAAGTAGACCTATTTTACACGCTTTTATTTAACTCACTCTGTCTGGTGTATCCCTCAACTCTGTCTGGTGTCGTATCCTCAAATCTTGTAACTCAATTTTAACCCACTTCCCAATGTGGTATCGACTGCAAACTTGGTATACGTATGTCATACTGATGACAATACTATATTCTATCATAAAAAAAAATATTAAACCATCTTTTTTAGAGGTTATGTTTCGGCTTGGGTCTAATTGTCCACGCTCAACTGACGTTGGCTGTAATCGAACACGGCCCCTTAAATTGTGGCAAGCTTCGGGGCCACCTCCTGGAGTCGTGGAGTTCTGCCATTACTCGCACGGTACATTTCATTAAAGCGTGTTTAAAAAAAAAGTATTTTTAAATATTACTTATTTATACAACACACCATATCATTAGTTGGGGTGGAGCCGTGGTGATTTGTGTTTGTTCCTTGCAAGTCCAAGATGCCTTTATCAAAAATATTTAAAAATAATAATTGCTATGCTATGTAAATAAAAAACAATTGGCTAAACCTTGGCCAAAATATCTGGACTTGTCTTCATATAACAATGCATAGATTTATGTTGATGTGATTGTGGTTATGGTTGTACTTTATGAATCCCTAATCTCTGCCATTACATACAATGAAACAAGAAAAGGTAAAAAAGAGCAATATAATACAATACACTATTGGACATTATTGTAATACATAAATAAAAAGCCCATCCCATTTGTTAGTGAATTTTTAAATATTTTAGGCAGGAAATTAGTTTTCAAATTTAGATTTTTTTTCTGGGGGGGGGGACCCCAGGAAGATTTGGTCCCCCCCCCAATGTTGGCTACGGCCTTGGTTACTTGATTTAATGTGTCTATATGGCTTTAGTATTAAAAGCCATATCTCAAACCGCTGCGGGATGAGCGCCTGACCCCGCCGCACGGGTGGCGAGTTTTATTTGACCATACTTCACCACGCTGGTTACGCTGGGTTGGTGATGGTGGGGAGGCATAGACGTGGAGGCATAGCAGTAGAGTACAACAAAGTGTTTTTTTTTGCACGCATAGATTTAAAAAAAACTGACATATACGAGTATTGGGATTGAATGAAATTGTTACGACGTAAGATAACAAATAGGCTGATACAGTGTATACACGTAATTACCCTAAAGAATCCGGTTGGATATAAAAACACAATGTACCGGATTTCTTTTCTGGGTACAAATCGCCCGCACATTCCTGTAACTTGAAATACTTTTGGAGGTATTCTTTTTGTGAAAGTGATTTCCTTTGGCTCCAGCTCGTAAACAAACCGGCGTCTACGTGTGTGTTGTTCGCCTGTGTTGTGTAGTGTATGTGTTGGGTTGTTTGGGGTGTGTGGATGTGTTGTGTGTGTCTATGTGCTGTGTATGTGTTGTGTGTCTATGTGCTGTGTATGTGGTGTGTGTCTATGTGCCGTGTCCCTGGTGTGTGTGTCTATGTGCTGTGTATGTGGTGTGTGTCTATGTGCCGTGTATGTGGTGTGTGTCTATGTGCCGTGTATGTGGTGTGTGTCTATGTGCCGTGTATGTGGTGTGTGTCTATGTGCCGTGTATGTGGTGTGTGTCTATGTGCCGTGTATGTGGTGTGTGTCTATGTACCGTGTATGTGGTGTGTGTCTATGTGCCGTGTATGTGGTGTGTGTCTATGTGCCGTGTATGTAGTGTGTGTCTATGTGCCGTGTATGTGGTGTGTGTCTATGTGCCGTGTATGTGGTGTGTGTCTATGTGCTGTGTATGTGGTGTGTCTATGTGCTGTATATGTGGTGTGTGTCTATGTGTCGTGTATGTGGTGTGTGTGTCTATGTGCTGTGTATGTGGTGTGTGTCTATGTGCCGTGTATGTGGCGTGTGTCTATGTGCCGTGTATGTGGTGTGTGTCTATGTGCCGTGTATGTGGTGTGTGTCTATGTGCCGTGTATGTGGTGTGTGTCTATGTGGTGTGTGTCTATGTGTTGTGTATGTGGTGTGTGTCTATGTGCCGTGTATGTGGTGTGTGTCTATGTGCCGTGTATGTGGTGTGTGTCTATGTGCGTCTATGTGCCGTGTATGTGGTGTGTGTCTATGTGCCGTGTATGTGGTGTGTGTCTATGTGCCGTGTATGTGGTGTGTGTCTATGTGCCGTGTATGTGGTGTGTCTATGTGCCGTGTATGTGGTGTGTGTCTATGTGCCGTGTATGTGGTGTGTGTCTATGTGCCGTGTATGTGGGGTGTGTCTATGTGCCGTGTATGTGGTGTGTGTCTATGTGCCGTGTATGTGGTGTGTGTCTATGTGCCGTGTATGTGGTGTGTGTCTATGTGCCGTGTATGTGGTGTGTGTCTATGTGCCGTGTATGTGGTGTGTGTCTATGTGCCGTGTATGTGGTGTGTGTCTATGTGCCGTGTATGTGGTGTGTGTCTATGTGCGTCTATGTGCCGTGTATGTGGTGTGTGTCTATGTGGTGTGTGTCTATGTGTTGTGTATGTGGTGTGTGTCTATGTGCCGTGTATGTGGTGTGTGTCTATGTGCCGTGTATGTGGTGTGTGTCTATGTGCGTCTATGTGCCGTGTATGTGGTGTGTGTCTATGTGCCGTGTATGTGGTGTGTGTCTATGTGCCGTGTATGTGGTGTGTGTCTATGTGCCGTGTATGTGGTGTGTCTATGTGCCGTGTATGTGGTGTGTGTCTATGTGCCGTGTATGTGGTGTGTGTCTATGTGCCGTGTAAGTGGTGTGTGTCTATGTGCCGTGTATGTGGTGTGTGTCTATGTGCCGTGTATGTGGTGTGTGTCTATGTGCCGTGTATGTGGTGTGTGTCTATGTGCCGTGTATGTGGTGTGTGTCTATGTGTCGTGTATGTGGTGTGTGTGTCTATGTGCTGTGTATGTGGTGTGTGTCTATGTGCCGTGTATGTGGCGTGTGTCTATGTGCCGTGTATGTGGTGTGTGTCTATGTGCCGTGTATGTGGTGTGTGTCTATGTGCCGTGTATGTGGTGTGTGTCTATGTGGTGTGTGTCTATGTGTTGTGTATGTGGTGTGTGTCTATGTGCCGTGTATGTGGTGTGTGTCTATGTGCCGTGTATGTGGTGTGTGTCTATGTGCGTCTATGTGCCGTGTATGTGGTGTGTGTCTATGTGCCGTGTATGTGGTGTGTGTCTATGTGCCGTGTATGTGGTGTGTGTCTATGTGCCGTGTATGTGGTGTGTCTATGTGCCGTGTATGTGGTGTGTGTCTATGTGCCGTGTATGTGGTGTGTGTCTATGTGCCGTGTATGTGGGGTGTGTCTATGTGCCGTGTATGTGGTGTGTGTCTATGTGCCGTGTATGTGGTGTGTGTCTATGTGCCGTGTATGTGGTGTGTGTCTATGTGCCGTGTATGTGGTGTGTGTCTATGTGCCGTGTATGTGGTGTGTGTCTATGTGCGTCTATGTGCCGTGTATGTGGTGTGTGTCTATGTGGTGTGTGTCTATGTGTTGTGTATGTGGTGTGTGTCTATGTGCCGTGTATGTGGTGTGTGTCTATGTGCCGTGTATGTGGTGTGTGTCTATGTGCGTCTATGTGCCGTGTATGTGGTGTGTGTCTATGTGCCGTGTATGTGGTGTGTGTCTATGTGCCGTGTATGTGGTGTGTGTCTATGTGCCGTGTATGTGGTGTGTCTATGTGCCGTGTATGTGGTGTGTGTCTATGTGCCGTGTATGTGGTGTGTGTCTATGTGCCGTGTAAGTGGTGTGTGTCTATGTGCCGTGTATGTGGTGTGTGTCTATGTGCCGTGTATGTGGTGTGTGTCTATGTGCCGTGTATGTGGTGTGTGTCTATGTGCCGTGTATGTGGTGTGTGTCTATGTGCCGTGTATGTGGTGTGTGTCTATGTGCCGTGTATGTGGTGTGTGTCTATGTGCCGTGTATGTGGTGTGTGTCTATGTGCGTCTATGTGCCGTGTATGTGGTGTGTGTCTATGTGCTGTGCGTGGTGTGTATGCGTTGTGTCTGTGGTGTGTTTCTGTGTTGTGTGGTGTACGTACATGTGTGTTGTGTGATGTACGTACATGTGTGTTGTGTGATGTACATACATGTGTATTGTGCGGTGTACATACATGTGCGTCGCATGTGCAGAGTACAGTACGCGTGCGTGGTGTGTCTATGCGCCCAGCACGGCTTAATAATAATAACAACCACAGCCACAAGTACTCGATGGACATCGTAACACCGCACTACAGAGGACGTCAACCACGATGCGCGTCTCCACTCTGTAGACAACACAAGCAGCGGCAATGGGCAACGCACACCACCACCAGCAGGATCAACATCCACACACCAAGTGTGTGTGTAAACTATATACAGTAGAGTGTACACACGCACAACACGTCGACATGATGAGACTTACCCGCTCCGAGAGAGGACTGCTGGGGAAATGGAAAGGCATGGGCACTTCTCACAACATGCCCCGGCGCTCGAGAGGAGCGAACTGAGCACAGCAGCGGCGGCGTCAGCGGCGTCGTCAGCTTCGCCCTTGCCGCAGAATTCTGCTGCTGTCGTCACTTTGCCGAGTTTATATACGTGCCTGTGTGTGTCAGTGTGTGTGTGCCTGTGTGTGTCAGTGTGTGTGTGCCTGTGTGTGTCAGTGTGTGTGTCTGTGTCTGTGTGTCTGTGTGTGTCTGTGTGTGTCTGTGTCTGTGTGTCTGTGTCTGTGTGTCTGTGTGTGTGTGTCTGTGTGTGTGTCTGTGTGTGTGTGTCTGAGTGTGTGTGTCTGTGTGTGTGTGTGTGTGTCAGTGTGTGTGTGTCAGTGTGTGTGTGTCAGTGTGTGTGTGTCTGTGTGTGTGTGTGTGTCTGTGTGTGTGTCAGTGTGTGTCTGTGTGTGTGTCTGTGTGTGTGTCTGTGTGTGTCTGAGTCTGTGTGTTGTGTGTGTCTGAGTGTGTGTGTCTGTGTGTGTCTGAGTGTGTGTGTGTCAATGTGTGTCAGAGTGTGTGTCAATGTGTGTGTGTGTCAGTGTGTGGGGAGCGATAGTGTAGCGGTTAGCGCGCTGCGCTATGAACCTGGCGACCCGGGTTCGATTCCCGCTCACGGCCAAAACCAGTGACGATTATCTGAACCGGTCCCGGGCCTCCCCTAGGTCGACTCAGCCTCAAATGAGTACCTGGTGCGGTGTGTAAACATTGTCACTAGGGAGACAAAGGCGGTCGGGCGTGGTGCTGGCCACCCACCCCCTCGTGTACCGTTCCGGCCTTCATAGGTGCTCGCTAACAGCACTTGCCCCTACAGTCTGTTAAGGCTATACGGGGGATCTTTGTCTTTGTGCCAGTGTGTGTGCCAGTGTGTGTGCCAGTGTGTGTGCCAGTGTGTGTGCCAGTGTGTGTGCCAGTGTGTGTGCCAGTGTGTGTGCCAGTGTCTTGCCAGGACCTTTCCCCCCCCCCCCCCAGTGTGCCGGGAAAGGTCCTGGCAAGGATTATTCAACATCGCCTTGCCAGGCACGCTGAGGAGAGGCTTGCCATATGTTCTGTCCGTCTGCTACAGCAGAGGTGTAGGGAATTCCAACAAGACCTACATCTCTGCTTTATTGACCTGGTCAAGGCCTATGATACCATCAGTAGGCCTGGGCTCTGGGTTGTTCTTCGTGCATTTTGGAGTACCTGACCCTCTGCTCACGATCATTAAGGACCTTCATGATGGTGAGCGGGCCCCGGGTAAAACTACGCGGCCGGGAGTCAGAGCCATTCCCTGTACACCTTGGGGTGCGACAGGGATGTCCTCTGGCCCCGCATTATTTAACATCTATTTTGACCACGTAATTCGTGAAGCCTTCAATAGCTGTACCGGGGGAATCTCCATATGGTACAGATATAATGGGAGGCTGATCGATGCCCGGGTGCGGTCAAGGGATGGCTCCCTATTGCTCAACCACGTTATGTATGCTGATGATTTGGTAATAGCTGCTCAGTCAGAGGAGGAGTTGGAGACGCTGCTGCTGAGACTGGAGCGTGCCACTAAGAGGTGGGGCCTTACCATCAGCCCCACCAAAACTAAGCACCTGCCTGGGTATTTTGTACCATTGGACACTCCACCCCCACAACTCCCAATCGGTGATGGGGCAGTTGTGGAGAGAGTGGAGAGTTCCCATACCTGGGCAGTGTGCTTATGACCGGCTCCAGTTTAACAGCAGAGGTCTCACTCCGAATCAGTCCAGCGGCAATATCTTTTCATCGGTTGCGTAACGCTGTGTGGAAGCTACCTGGTCTGTCGCTCCGCACTAAGCTTCAGGTCTTCTCGGCCACGGTCATTCCCTCCCTTCTCTACGCTTGCGAAACGTGGACCCCCCTAATGGAACATCTTCGCCGGTTAGAAACATTTAGGCTGGCCTGCCTACGATCCATCCTGGGTTTAACCAGACTGGATTGTGTGAGGAGCTCACAAATCCTTGAAAGATCTGGGCAAGGTCCCATCGGTGAGCTCCTCCGGCAGGCTGCGTTGGCTGGGTCATGTAGCCCGCATGCCCAGCCACCGCATGCCGAAACAGCTTTTGTTCGGCCGGATTGAGGGGGCTAAGCGGGCGCGGCACGGGCTAGAGAAGAGATGGAGTGATGTGGTACAGGAGGACGTGGAGCTGAGTGGACTTGCCGATGACTGGTACCAGCGGTGTCAAGATCGGCCTCTGTGGAGGAGGCTCGTGAAGGATGCAACTGAGCAGTGCCAGGCTAGATGCACCTTGAGGCTACTGGGCAGTTGGAGGCAGTCGCCCTCCAACAACAATGGAGGGCGGAGGAGCGACGCTCACAACAACGAGCGGAGCGCCGGGTGGCTAAAGCACAGCAGGTTGCCACAGTAGGGGGCACAGGTGGTGTATCAGCCAGTCATCTTAGTCAGTCGACCCGTGGCACCTAGGTCTGCCCCGTGACCTCCTGCCAACGGGCGTTCGACACTTCACGTGGCCTCAGGGTGCACATAGCCTGGCACAAGCGCCGTGGTGACGTCACCGCCACTTAGTGGCGAATGGCGGTTGTTGTTGTTCCAGTGTGTGTGCCAGTGTGTGTTCCAGTGTGCCAGTGTGTGTTCCAGTGTGCCAGTGTGTCAGTGCGTGTTCCAGTGTTCCAGTGTGCCAGTGTGTGTGTTCCAGTGTTCCAGTGTGCCAGTGTGTCAGTGCGTGTTCCAGTGTGCCAGTGTGTGTTCCAGTGTGCCAGTGTGTCAGTTCGTGTTCAAGTGTTCCAGTGTGCCAGTGTGTGTGTTCCAGTGTGCCAGTGTGTCAGTGCGTGTGCCAGTGTGTCAGTGTGTGTGTCAGTGTGTCAGTGTGTGTGTGTCAGTGCGTGTGCCAGTGTTCCAGTGTGCCAGTGTGTCAGTGCGTGTGCCAGTGTGTGTGTCAGTGCGTGTGCCAGTGTTCCAGTGTGTGTGTCAGTGTGTCAGTGTGTGTGTGTCAGTGTGTGTGTCACTGCGTGTTAAAGGGCTGTGGGGGGAGCGGGTCGTGTGGCGGCAACATCGCGCTGCGCTACGCAACACCGCCACAGCCTCCAGTGACGATTCCCAGAACCGGTCCTTTGGGTCTTGCCCCTAGGTCGACTCAGCCTCAAAATGGGTACCTCAGTGCGATGTGTCGTACTGTATAAGCATTGCCACTGGGGAGACAAAGACGGCCGGGCGTCGTGTATGAACCACGTGCGCAGGCAACGCCCTTTAATTAGGTGTTCGCTAACAGCGCAAGGCACAGCAGGCTACAATGTTCGATTTTTGCAGTTGTCTCTGAAGTGTATGTTATGTATATAATTGTGTATATACAGTACGTGAGAATGTGGGTATGTGTGTAATAATATACCGCACGTGTGCTCTCTGACCTCCTACACTTTGGTATGAAGGATGTGAGAGTGACTTTTGTATGGCCACGCAAGCACTCTGCTGCAATTGGACGGGAAAAATACATAATGCATAACGAGAGTATTGATTTATGCTGGGCGTGTGAGTAATTAAAATTCTTAAGCTCATGTACTGTAAGATAAACATAAATTCCATCATTGTGCTAAACCACTGCTGGATGAAAACCTCGCCGAGCCGTGTAGGTCATGGATAATTTTTTTTATATATATAATACTTCACCACGCTGGTCAATGCGATTTGGTGCCAGGATCGGTTCAGATATCATTCGCCACGAATGTTAGCCGTGGTCGGGAATCGAATGCAGGTCACCAGGTTCAGAGCACTTAGCACTGCACTACCGCTCCGCGCTGCCGTAGCAGAAGGGCTGTTCAATTGCATTTACTGAATATGTAGCATACATCTCTCTACATTTCTAAATATTGTACCTTTTTTTTCTTATTTTGTCTTATAGACTTTCAGAAATGCTCATTTGCGATTTTTGCACGGAGAAAAAATGTTATCTGAATACGTTTGGAGAGGTTATGGATGAAACTAATGATCCTGCTTAGGGCCAGGACAAATATCGACTCGTTTTGATAATTATGTGCATCACGTAGTCAATAAGATATGTATTTTTGTTTGCATGAGTAATGTTTTCATACTTACAATTGGAAACCGATAGCTGCTCTATGTATTTTACTATTCAAACCCGAATGATGTATAAATAACACAGTAATGCCTACTGTTTACCCAGCAAAGCCTCAATTAGTCTAAATACTTTTTTTTCAGGATGGTGCTGCATTGTGATGTTTTACCAATACATCCCATTGATTACTGTTTGGGATTGTGGGGGAAAAAACCGGAGATCTCAAGAGAAAGCCCACCAGGCATGTACATGGGGGTGACACTAAGCAACTGCTTGCTATCTCCTGGCTACATTTCAGCTCCAATCCCACAACACCCACCCATGTGTAGTGACAAAGAATAAGTAATGTAGCAGCATAGCGCTGGCTGCTGGCGGGTTAAGGGGATCTGCGGCTCACAGCAGCCCTGACGTCAGCAGGCCAGGTGATACACCAGAGGGGATATCTGGGGGAAAGGTTACAGAAGGGGCACGTGAGGGAAGCCCGGGAACCCGCTAGTAGGTTCTAGAGAGGGGGCGTGGCCAGGGCGGAGCAAGGTCACGCTGGGAGCATAAAAGGGGGCCCTGAGCGAGAGCTCGGGGTTGTCGTTTGGAGAGAGATCCCCGTCGTGCTGTTGAAGATCGTCGCCATCGTCGCTGTCGTCTTCACTCGATATTGCGCTGCTAGACGGTAGTTGGCCGTCTCGGTTCAGCGCCGTCAGTGTTAGACGGCTCGTGTTGTGTATAGGCTAGCTAACCCACGTCGAGTTGTGTATAGGCGAGCGACATAAGAGTGTGTACCAGCGTAGGGTGTGTGTTGTGCAAAGGGTGCTCGGTTAATTCAAAGAAGTGCCTCCAAGTCTTAGCGTCTCCGAGTTAAGTCACTACACATGTGTGGTGCCGTGGATTCACTCGGACGACAATCGCCTTTCTTCCACCGTCACTTTTATATCCATTGTTCCGCACACACACACACTATATAATTTCACACACACACTATATATATAATTTCTCCTCTCCGCGCTCTGCCAACTCGAACACTCGAATTCCCCTCAGCACCGTCCGCTCATACTCCTTGTCTCCCCACACAGTCTCCCCTCACACACAGTGGTTCTCTCTCTCTCTATCTCCGCACACACA